AATATAATTAATTAATTCAAAAAAAAACTTGATTTTTGCAATTTTAAACATTGATACCTGATTTTTGATTTCCTAAAAGTAAATCCCTGAACCATGAATTTTTCCCTAAAAAGAATACACCCGACCCAAGTCTCGCTCGCTAGAGGAGTCTCATTAAATATTAATTTTATCACTTACCAAACTTGAATGTATCGTGTAATCCCAAGTTATGGGTCCCATAATTATAGACCTTTTTTTCTATTTTTCGCAGATTGAGGTTAAAAGAGCAAAAATTTTGCACCAGAACCGCACGGCTCAAGTAACACCAGTTATCTTATGATCTCAAATATATAGAATCAGAAATTTTTTAATGAGCTTCCAAACCCAAAACTTTGAGCAGTCTCTAAAGCTTTCTCGTGAAACCGTCAACTCTAGTTTTCTGAGTTAACTGATCATAATATGTCTTTTTTGTTCAAGTCGGTGATAGAGAGTGTTGACAAATGAGACACCAGCTCTTTGTCAACAACCTTAATGTCTGTCCAACAAGATCAGCACTTGGCGGTGGGGGTAATGGTGGTTTGCAAACAAATTTTGAAACTGACCCCCCTCAATTAAATGGGTTCACATGCCGCTTATTAAAAGAATTCTGATAGACAGCAATATATAGAAGAATAAGAGCATCAACATATCCAAATATCAAGAGAAAGATGAATCAAGCCACAAAGTTTCCCTTCCATTTTCTTAGGGGAAAGGGCAGGTTGATGAGGAGAGGGAGTGAGAGAATTAAAATAGTCTATTCTTTGGGGAGAAAGTTCAGAACTAAAGAATCCATATTGCAACCGGAAGCCTAAGGAAAGTAGACCGGCCAGTTGAAGTAGTATGAGTCTCGTACTTCTCTGTCCATCTGATTCCACTGCCAGAAGAAAAAAAATGAAACGAGATAAACGAAGTATTTCACACCGCAAAAGCCGTACTAATGTTTTAGAACACATAATGTCTGTCTTCCTCAAAGTTACTGTTATTCAAGAATTTGAAACTCAAATTGAGTGAAAGTACCAGAAATTTGTATGGCTGTTTCTTTTCAAGTGCTTTCTTCCAGTGATATTGCTCATATAGCATAGCTTTGTCATGCCAACTGCAGATTGAAGTCAAATGTGCAACATGAGGCAAAAAGCAAGCCCAAAGTACTTGTGGAATCTTAAACATAAATGTAGCAAGGAAGCTCCTCAAGCAACAAACAAAGCAGATCCAACTCAAAGGAAGCACCCTCTACAGGTCTGAAAGACCAAAAAATTGCGCAAAATTGCAAAGCAAGATCCAAATAAGAAACAGAGAAATCAGAAGCAAATCTTTTAAAGTATTAGCATATACAACACAAAAGAAATCAGAAGAAGATATATTCTGCCACCGTCATAGTTCATAATTTGGCCTAATTAAAAGGTTAATGTGGATTATTGTGCCTGCCAGTCTTATCTAACTATCAAATAAATTGCACAAGTAGCCATTGCAACGTACATACTTCTAATACTTTCACACCAGCCATTTGTATATTGCAATAGTTCTTTCATATCATAAACTTCAGATGTATATTAAATCACACAGGGGAGGATTCAGGAATGGACTAAAAAAATTTTAAGCCGGGCCAATATGTTAAAAAAATAAAATTATTAAAAAAATTTACTTGCAAAAAAAAAAACTTTGGAAAATTGAAATGGGTTTGGGGGGACTGGGCTCTAAATCCGCCCCTGGACCCCACATATCCACATTGGCATTTTGAGCATCATTACATGGATTTATATGAGCACCATTGACGTGCATCTTGGTGTTAGAATTGCACCATTTATGTTTGATACAACTCCTCAGCCAAGAATTGCCCAAAAATGTGTAGAAGTCTACAAGTGAACGTGCTATATGATCTGTATTTTATTCAAAGAAAATGTGAATACTCGTCGAATGAGTGGAATCGAGAGAGAAAAAATAAGGCTAAGCATTAATAATTCAATGTTCTCATTTTATTTTAGGAATATAAAGAGAGAAGGATTTTCATTTCAATTAAAACAATTGGAAGATTGATCCCTCCCTTCAATCCATATTGCAAACAAATCCCTCGTGCTTCAAATTTTGCTCATTCTCTTCTTCTGAAGATGTGAAATGCTGACTCCAATGAGTAATGAATTCCCCCCACTGGCCTGCCCAGCGAAAAAAAAAAGGGATGGAACGTCTGTACATATGCCTAATGGCCCTAATCTATGGAGAATGGGTGCTTATGCCCCTATGTCTTGCATATCTGACATAGTGAGTCATGTTCAAATGAGACAACCAAGTGGACAAACTTTTTAAGTAGCAATTGAGAGAGTGTGGATGAATAAACATAACTGGAAAAAAAAAATACCAGAGAACCGTAGGGGTCAAAAATTGTATACTCACGGCAAAAGTTCCAATCATTTCAAAATCAAATACGGTAAATTTAAAACGTCAAACAAGTGCGTTAATTTAGAATCCCATAAAGTTGAAGGACTTTCTATATTTTTAAATAAACAAAAAGAAATGAAGAAACAAACATCTAGTGGCAGCTTAAAAGATTTGCCTTGATGCATGATAATCCCATATTTACAAATTTTCTTACTGGTTTTCTTGATTCTTGACAGCTTATAACTAAAAGAGATATTCTGTTCACCGTCCAAAAAAACAAAAACTCTTATCACCCTCAACCAATGCCACTAACCCTGATAGCTATGCATCTTAGTTCTTAAGTAAGCTTAATAAAGTTATATGTAATGGAATTTGGTACCAGAACTTCCACGTATAGAATCTCATATTGTGTTGACATTCACAAGAAAAAAAAATGTTTCTTACCATTAAAGGTAACCTTTTTAGGGATTTCAACTTCATAAGGCCATCATACTGAAATTCGAGCATACATAGCATGGTGATCAAGATCCCATTTAATACTTGATTTCATTCACAAAAAAAAGGCTTCATTAGAAAGTTAGCATTTTGGGAGTTTTCAACCTGTATTTTAAGGGATGGACTAGAAAACATTTCTCACAATTTCAATGTCAACTAAATATAAGAAAAAACAAAAGAACAGGTATCCCTCTGTCAGGAATGGAGAAAGTGTAATCAAAATTTTGTAACTTTTTTGTTCCCAAATTCAAAAAAAATAATCAGTATTATAGCAAACATCTTTTTCTCAAAATTATTAGTGGTAAACATGGAGCGTGTATGTATATGCTGCATTGGCGTTTGCAAACTTATATTCAAGGCGATTTTTAAATAAATAAATGAGCGTAAGCATGCAGATATGACAACATAGATATCACCCACTAGAATTCATGCTCTTATTTCTTACAACCAAACACTTGCATTAAAAAAAAAAAAAACCTTTTCCAAGAGTACATCCCAAACATTTAGCAAAAAAGTTGAAATATATAAAAATATATCTGGAAATTAACGAAAACCCCCCGAAAAATAAATTACACCAGTACATAAATATATAAACACATAGATAATACAAATTAGAGTATGCGACGATAAAAGGGATTAGAGGTTACTTGAACTGGTTGGAGAGTTGCCACATGTAAGGGTTAATCCAGGTAAGGGCGGAGAAGGCGGCGGACCCGATCCATATGTTGACGAAGCGGTCCGGGTCGGAATGTGGAACCCCTGGGTCGCCACGATAAGCGTTCCCAAAGTACTTCTCCATTATAATTCTCTCTATGAACTTGACACTGTATTCTATCGGCTTATCCGATAGCTTTTATTTATGAGAAAATTTCAAGGAAGGTCACTTAATTTACGCATTTCTTTCATATTGGTCCCCTAATTTTAATTGATTTTAGTGTAATCTACCCGCCGTGATTTCTATACGACTATTCTATCAATAACCTTTCACGAAAACTAACCGGTAATTCTACATGACTACCAAAATGCATAGCCTAATCTCTACACTATGGTGCGGTACAGTGAACACTATCCCAATTTGAGATTTTGAGTCTATTTTGTGCACTAATTTTTTTAATTATCTTTTCTTTTTTCTTTTTTTTTTATCTTCTCATATATTAATAGGTATAGTACTTGTTTGAGCCCCATTTTTTGTCAAAATATATTTTAGAATAATATTTTGTTGGAAAACGTGTAATTAAAAATAAGGAAAAATTTTAAAATTTGGGTACAAAATATTTTCCTGTATACATATGTGGTTAAAAATGAATTCTAAAAAAATGAGACTTTGATAAAAATGGGACCAAACATAGGCACAGTCTTTTAAATTTGAAGGTTTTGAANTGTGTGGAAATAAAATAAATTAGAGAGAAAGTAATTGTTTTTTATTGTTTTATAGAGAATTGTTAATTTAGTGTATTTGATTGATATAATTTTTCGAGAACAATACACAAAACCTACATATAAGAATTATTTTTTAAAACTAACAAATTTATTTAATTATTTCAAACAGGTGGTAAATAGATTTATTAAAGATTAAATTATAATATAATATATATTAATTATTTACACCCAATGACACCTCACCCACCCCCATCACCTCACTACACCACCTTCCCTCCATTTTCGGCACCGCTCCGGCAATGGTCTGACGACGCTCGGGCGACTGGTCCGACTATTACTCCGGTGGCCGCTCCGGTGACTCTCCGGCGATCACTCTGGTAGCTATTCCGACGATCACCCCGACGCTTGTTCCGGTGACCAACTTCCAAATTTTTCCAGAATTTTTTTGTCACAATTGGTCACCACGAGTCACAATTCACAAGTCGCAATCGTTCACAAAAGGGCACAATCGGTAGCAACGAGTCATAATACACAGTCACAATCGATCACAAAAAGGAACTATCGGTCACAAACATTCACATTCGGAAACAATCAACCCAATAATTGGTCAGACACCCACCAAATCCCACCCCATCCCACCCATGACATCGCCAACGCCAACGCCACAGCACCGCACGTCCCACCTCCATTGCACCACCACCGCCTATAGCACCATACCACCATCGCACCACTCATCCAACCATCGGATTGCACAGCACACCACCATCGCACCATAGCACCATCACCGCGCACAACAACACCACCACGATGCCGAAAACAACACTACAGTCCCCATCCACCGTGGTATAGTCTCCATCCACCGTACCACAGCCCCCATCCACCAACTGAAAATAGATCTGCACCATCATCGTGCGCAGCATCACCTCCATTATGCTGAAAACCGAATCGCCGTCAAACACCACCACCGTACCACACAAATCTACCTCCACCGCACCACACAACTCTACCTCCACCGCACCACAACCCCCATCCCCCGTACCACAATCCCCATCCACAAAAAAAAAAAAAAAAAGAGCTGCACCGTGCTCAGACCATAGATCATGTAAGGGTGCTGTCACTTCTCCGGCCACAGCTTCCAGATCGCCGCAAAGCGTACCTGCCGTCGACTCCGCGCGAAGAGGCTCCGGTCCCCTTCCATTACAGTAGCATTGCGGTGTTGCTTCCTTGGTGGCGATGGCGCCTCGACTTCTTCATTGCAGCACTGGGGTTGTGGTGGCGAGGCACGGTGTTTGTAGCACCGGGATTGAGGAGGATTATTAAGGTTTGGGTTTGGGGTTGGGTGGGATATGGCTGCAGATCGGGATTGGGGGGAGATATGAGCTTGGGTGGATATGGCCGAGAAAGAGAGAGAGACGAGAGATTTAGAGAGACAAGAGAAAGGGTTGGGAAGATAATGATAAATTAAGATTTTAAATTTTTAATAATTATAATTATAAACTATAATTACTACCTGAATTTTGAAATGTAAACTTTATCACCTTATTTTTGAAATGTAATGTTGAAAATAAGGGTTTGAGGTAATTTTCTCTTTAGTTTTCCTGTTGGTATAACTTGATTCCTCGTAACAATTAATTATTAGGGTATCAATGCCTGGCTTTTTTTTTAATGGTTAGGCCCAATATCAGTCCATTGACACCGAAAATGAGTGGTGAATAATGAGTAGTACACGTGAATGTTTTGAAGGATGTGGAGAAAAAATAATTTGATTGTTTATAAACATGAATAAGCATAGCCAAAAAATAAAATTTCAACTGAGCCGACCTTTAAGCCATTTAATTTTTTTAAGGGAAAAAAAAAAAGAATTTTATGTCAAACAATAGAATGCAAAATTAAGTGGGTTTAATTTTGACTTAATTTTGAAGTTTGAATTCTAATATCAAAGAATTTTAAAATTAAAGTGGAGATTAATATAGAATGCGATCTCTCTTTTTTTTTTTTGAAGAAACAGACTTCTAGATTCTAGCGGAGAACTAATTGTGTGTTTTCTAGGGAAAATTCATGTCTCAAGTATTACAAATAAGTCGATTCAATATTCAAATAATAAGTTTACAATTCCAAAGCTCGGGTAATAAATAAACGTTTAAGAAACTTTTATTAATTAAATATATTAAGTTCACAATTATACAATTAATAGTTACAGTTATATATTTATATGTCGCAACTTATTTATTGGTCACATATTATCAAATTAATTGATCACTAATTATTTTTCGATCACAAATCAAAAAAATTATAAATCACAATTTATTTATCGGTCACAAATGAAAATTTTGTAAGTCACGACTCAATTTTTAGATTATATATTATTTATTGTTCACAAGTCAGTCAAAATATTATTGATTGATCATAAAATATTTAATTTATTGATCACAATCTCAAATAATTTGTGACCATTACCTCACCATCGCACCGCACCGCACCTTCGTCAAACACCACCACCGCACCATGCACCCAATCATTGTACTACACACATCACAAATTATTGCTCAGTCAACCATAGCACCATACATGTTGCGCTCAGCACCACTGCACGAAGTGCCACCTCACAACGCTGGGTGATCCGTGGACTGACGATCTATGGACGGGCAATATCGAGACGATGTTGGGCAACTGTAGTCTGGTTTGTGTTGATTTCCGACGTCAAGGGTAGCGGCGATGGTTTTGAAATGGTTTTTTGGGGTGTTTTTGGGTGATTTCTTCCTCCCGTGATCTGCGTAGCCAAAGTTTTAAGATGACTGTTGGTTGTTTGTTGGTGGTGGTGGTCGTGTAGGTGACAATTGTGTTGGTGGTGAGGTGATATCGTGAATTTGGATATAGAGAGATAAGATAGACAAAAATGATAGAGAGGAAGGAGAAGAAAGGGAAACAAATGTTAAGGTTTGGGAGTGTGGGTTGGATGGGAGTGGAGTGGGGTGGGGTGGGGTGGGGTGGTAAATTAATTTAATTTTATATAATATTATTAATATTTATGTTAGAATTATTATCTGATTTTTGATTAAATAAATCTCAAACTTGATTTTTGAGATGAAATACTTAAATACCTGTTTATATGTAATTTCTTCTTTTTTCTATACCTAGAATGCTCATGTATTAATTTTAGGGCAATTTACACGTACGTAAAAAATAATTGACCGAACTGAAAATTATTGGATTTTGTTAATATTGCAAAATTACAACATAGATGAGCCTTTAAATAAAAAATACGACAAATTAACGGGGTATGTAATTTTTTATGTGTTCTAAAATATCCACTTAAGTGCAGGGTACGAAGAAAACACCCTGCCTAGCACCGGATGGGAAAATAATCACTAAGCTAAAAAAGACGTATCCCTTTTCATTTGATAAATAATATTTTCTTATTTCGAAGTTCGACGCAACAAAATGCTACAATTGTTAAAATATAAAAATAAAATAAGACTAACAAAAAAAATCAACCTAACACAAATTCAGTCCTCAACATAGCTTTCTTTGACCTTGAACAAACTATTATTGACTTAGGGTATTTATGATTTTGAGAAATTAGTTTTTGTTCGAAACTTTATTTAGTGATGAACTTGTTTCTGCAATCAAAATATTAAATTACTTTATAATTGGTATTTAATTACCAACATAATTTTTCTTGAAGTTAAAATTAGGAAAAATTGCAGTCACAGTCCCAAACCTTTCATTTTGTTGCAGATTACACCCAAACCTTTAATTTTGAAGTCGAAGTCCCAAACATTTATATTTAATTGCAGCGTCGGTCCCAAACCTTTAGGGGCTGTTCTCTTTAGCGTTTTCGGGCCGTTTTCTGTTTTCAATTTTCCAAAAAGGTGAAAATGCGTTCTCTTTCTCATTTTCCAAAACGAATTTT